ACCCAATATTCAGATCAGCAGAACTAGATGAAAAATCAGTAACACAACAGCATAACCACCCTCCTTCTGAGTGTTTATACACATTGACTGTCACAGTTAGTTGTTTCCTCAGCCTGTCAGAAAGAACCAACCAACCAGTATGATCCTGGATCAGTGCGCTAGGTTAATCATGTTTGAAATGAAGTGTGACGGTAGGGGTGTGGGGGGGGGAGCGACTTCACCTTTACCAAAAAAATCTTAGTTCGACAGCTGTTCAGAGGCTGCCCCAGTTTACCTGCGGAGGGCATCTCAAAGTCAGCATGTTGTTTTGATTTGGTGGGGGTGGCATTGGCCACACTGCCACCTGGTGACGTGACGGTAGATGGCGAGTTCGGTGACATCATCATGTGACTACTGGACACAGGGGCCAGGGAGGACAGGGGAGGGGTGGGCACGTCAGCTCGGTGTACGTGCGGGGAACCAAAGTCACTGAAGGTTGGGTCTGACATCCGGTAGTGGGGGGGGGGCATCGTGATAGGTGATAGGAGGGTGGGGGAAGGAGGAAGGTGTGCAGAAACGTGCATGTTGTTAGATTGTGATTCTAGACACACACCACAAATGATATCCGCACGCACACACACATACACGCACACAGGCGTATGCTCTCACGCTCGAGCCTGCACGCACACACACACACACACACACGCACACACACAAGAGAGTGCTGAGAGGTTGAACTGTGCAGGGTTTGGTCCAACAGATGGTCAGTGACACAGTTTGAGTTGTGTGAACAAAAACACATTGACATATTAACAGTTGTCTACAGCACGGAAAAAGCAAGACTAACAGAACCAACAGACGGGAAAGAAAAAAAAGAAGGACCTACCAGTGGTGCCCTCCAACCACCCACAGTGTTACAGATAAGGAGGTAGGAAATACACACTCAAAAGACTACCTGCACACATGTACTGTTAGTGCAACCACACAAAAAAGCAATGTAAACTCTACTAAAACAGAAAGCAATAGGGCATACCATTCATCTCTTCACAGAAAACAATAAGTGTCAGTTCCCAAGGTATACTACTCATGGGTTAAAGTTAGTCTTTCCAATTAATAATACTCAAAAACTATTTTAGACCAAGTTCTGTGTAGCAAACAGATAAAAAGATATAGATTAGAATTGACAAAGCCACACCATTAATCAGAATAAAATCCTCTGACAGCGGCAGAGTCATTTCAACAAGTGCTGCTCATTGAAGTTTGTAACATTTAGAAGGACAGACCTTTATACACTTCTCAGTTTATATAGTAAATATGTGTTAAATCAGAACTTAAAAGCATTTTCAAAGATCAATACTGCTTGTCTCAGGTAAAAAGAAACACTAAGGAGCATAACTACTGCTGGGCGAATCATTGAATTTTCCAAGAAATACAAAAATTCCAAGAATGAAAGATTACAAAGATTACTCCCCCCCCCCCTACTTGCAGTAGATAAAAAACTGCTCAGACTTTCAAACACAAAATATTATAACTGAAACAATACCCTCCACCCCCACCTCTCTCTCACACTCTACCTATCTATCCATCCATCACTCCCTCCTCTCTCTTTGTCTCTCTCACCTGGAATTCCGTCGCTCTGACCTACGCTAAAGGCCGACTCTGAAGCACTGGAGGTGGTGATGGTTGTGGTGGTGGTCATCCCCCCAGGGGAGCTGCCCATGGCACCTAGATCGTACGTCTCCACACGCACTGTACAGACATAGTTTAGTGAATGTTTTACTCCCTTTTCAACACAATTCATATTGTACTGATCAGCATAAGCAGCATTGCTAGAGGAACAAACAGCTCTTTCGGCAAAAGACATTGAGGGAGAGAAGGACCTAAGCAAATATGAACTCACCATTGCAAAGTTTCAAAAGGATAATTCATATTCATCCTCAGATAGTGCCTGATCTATAAAAAAAAGACATTGGCAATCACAGTTCATCACTCATTTCCCAACTTGAATGCTCTAAAAAGAAACTATATCATTATTAAGCCGGTTCATCCATCAGTTCACGTTTTCTCAGTACGTTGCTCTTGGACTACCTATGCCCGTCTTGCTTTCTTTTTTTTCCAGCAAAAGCAAGATGTTCAAGGCCTTTATGACCATTCAAAAGTGTGAGAATGTGCATTTAATTCTTTGCAGTCGTCTTTATTAGTCAACATCCCAAAGGGGCTTCTATGAGCACTAGCCCATTTCATATATGAGGATAAATAAAAAGAGAACAGACAAACACAAACACACACACACACACACACACACAAACACACACACAAACACACACACACACACACACACACACACAAAC